ACCCCCAGAGGTTCTCATTGGTCTGGAGTGAGACCCAGGCATCAGTATTTTTTAAAAGTTCTTCCAGATAATTCTAATGTGTGGCCAGCATGTGTGGCCAGCATTCAGAGGCACCGTCTTTATGTTTTTCTCTCTCAGAATGGGTATCCGAACTTAATGCTAATGAGAAAGTACTTCAGATTTTATCACCCTATATCTCGGAAAACCACTTTTCCTCTATTGAGTGCCACTGACCCATAAGAAAAAAAAAAAAGTCAATAGTCTAAATGTACAAGCACGAAGTGACTTAATTGAATTTTTTACAAAAGGAAAAAATTCAATCCATTTGTTTTTAAGTTTAATAATGGGGTGAAAAAGAAGTAACCTATCGGTTAGTGTGTGCCACTAACCAATTATTATGTTATTATGTTTCATGGTCTACTTTAAACACTTTTACATGTATTGTTTTATTTAGTCTCCCAAGCAACGTAGAAAGGCAAATATTATTATTCCCATTTTTACAGTCAAGGAAACAAAAACTCAGAGATGTTAAATTGACTTGTCCAAAGTCACAGAGTTGGCATATGGTGATGCCAGGAGGCAAACAAACAAATGGCCCCATCTGCTGCTCTCACTCATCTCTTTTCATCAGGCCATGCTGCCCTATCTAAAGAAAACCTTAGTGAATGATACTTCACCAAGCAATAGAAATTTTCTCTCCAAGCCAATGAAAGGGATAGATGGAGCTGGACAATCAAGAGAAGGAAAGAAAAGAAGTAGAGTAAGAAGAATGAAATTCAGTGCAAGCTAAGAGAAGGATCAGAAAGGAGACATCAACTGCACCCAGCAGATGAGTCACAGTGCATGAGGCCAAAGTCATACTAAATGGCCACATTTCCCAATTGCTACTTAGATGGTCAAGGTAGCAAATACAACCAGTGTGATACCATGTGTCCTGGATTGTGCTATAAGGGTGAATAAGACAGAGTCCTGCCCTACAGATGCTTATAACCTAGCATGGGAGGCAGATTTGCACACAAACAGGATAGATTTTGCCTTGCCTTAGCAGAAGTAAGTACCGAGAACTGGGAGTAGAGATGAAGAAGCTGTTCATATGGGTCAGAGAAGACTTCACAGAAGAGGGTCATCTGAGATGGCTTTGAAACAGGGTAACTCATTCACCATGAAGACAGAAGGAATGGCCGAACCGAATCATGGAAATAGAAACTAGCAAGGTGTGTGTTTGAGAAATGGAAAGGGCCCTTTATAAATTTCTGAGACAGGGAAATGATCCCATTCCCACTGACTCCCTCCTTTTACTCAGGGCTGAGATTGTATCTTCTAGCTTTGAATTTTCACATCATACTCATCTGCAGTTATATAGGAATGGTTCTGCCAGGTTCACTCCAGTTCCTAGATCATTTAATAGTGGAATTAGATTCAGGTTTCCTCTCCTCACTGCCCACAGCTCTGTGCAGCCACTATACAACGCATATCTCTATTTTATGTTAGGATTCCAAATTACAAAATTGTATAAAGTACTTTCTTTTTTGGTCTCTATATCCCTATCCTGATCACAATTCAAATGAAAAGTTTCTTGTCCTATAAAATGAGCAAAATTGAATTAATTTCTTAAGGTGTTCAGAAGGGCTGTCTTTGAGCTGGGAAAGAACTTCCAAGCCAGCTTCCATTAACACATTTGGAATTCTAGGTGTTTCTTTGAAGCCCGGAAATTTTTTTTTAACCTGCACAGAACCTTTACACTATTGCCTTTAAAGCAGATACTTCCTTTTGTTTTAATTAACAATGACTTTAGCAGGTTTTAAATAATGGTTTGTCTTTATGAAAGAAAACTAGGGTGGAAACACTCCAAATCCACTTTTTGGGATAAACTGAGGAGTCATTAAGTCCTTTCCAACAAGATTTAGACAGTTCATTAGAATAAATATATTTTCATCTCCCACTTTCTATATCATCTTAAAACAGAGCAAAGGTACAGTGCTGGAATAATGACACACAGTCTGAAAAATATTCTAAATGTACTGAAATCACTGCAGTGCCTTTCACTTTGTAGTTTCAAAACACTTATAATTTGTATGATGTGTCTATTAAATGCTGCCTAATAGCCAGGAACAGGACAGCACTCAGGAATTTATTGGTTTACCTAGACTCAAATTGTGACCAAACCCTGTGAAGGAATGACTAAAGCAATCAGAGGATTCTACTGGAGTCCAAGTTGAAATAACTTCTTGAAAGTTTAAGCCAATCCTCATTCTTATGAAGTAATTCATTCAATTTAGATTAAAAGTATTCTTATTTCCTGAAAGTTAACTGGTTTTAATAATGGATGTAGTCCCTATTCTATTTGATATTTTAGAGATGCTCAAAAAGAAACATAAATGACTTTAAACAATCCAGACCTAAGCCATTTAAACAGACAGCAGATGTAATTTCTATGTCTTTCTAAGTCTAGAGTCTAGGACATCCATTCAGGTGAATCCTTTGATTCCTGCCATTATCCCAGAACAAGGGTAGATGTATGAATTCTTGCATCTATACTGGTTACTAAACTCCCAGCCTCTGTTCTACCTCCTAAAATCTCTGTTCCTCATAGCTCTGATGCTGACCCAAGGGTTATAAAAGGAGATCAATTCCCACACCTAATCCCAGAAAGTAAATACACAACAACAGAGTATACGCTTAGATCCATTCTTCAATTTATTGAATCACAAAATATTGGCGCTGAGAGGAATCTTAGAAGCTAATAATTTCAAACTCTCCATGGTACAGAGTAAGCCCTAGAGATGTTAAGTGACTTTCTCAAGGTCACACAGCTAGTTAGTGACAAAACTGGGCCCATAACCAACCACTTACTATGAGTGCATGCTCTGATCCCTTGCTACTCAGTGTTGTCTGCAGACCAGCAATATCAGCATCACTTGAGAGCTTGTTAGAAAGGTAGGCTCTCAGGCTCCACCCAAGACCCTCTAAAGCAGAATTTGCATTGTAACAATTTTTTTTTAAACAGGATGTCCCTGTGTCATCCAGGCTGGAGTGGTGCAGTGACACAACCACGGCTCACTGCAGCCTGGAACTCCCAGGCTAAAGCTATCCTCCCATCTTAGCCTCCTGAGTAGCTGGCACTACAGGCACACACTACAACACATGGCTAACTTTTTTATTTTTAATTTTATGTAGAGACGGGATCTTGCTATGTTGCCAGGTCTGGTCTCAAATTCCTGAACTCAAGTGATCCTCCCTACTAAGCCTCTCAAATTGCTGAGATTACAGGCATAAGCCACCACAACTGGCCCAAATCTTTAGGTCATTCATAGGCACATTACAGAGCTGAAGCCAAGCCAGGCACATTGGCAAGAACCTGTAGTCCCAACTACTGGGGAAGCTGAGGAGGTAGGATTTATTTTATATAGTTAGTTAGTTAGTTAGTTAGTTAGTTTTGAGATGGAGTCTTGCTCTGTCACCCAGGCTGGAGTGCAGTGGCGAGATCTCCGCCGCCCGGGTTCATGCCATTCTCTTGCCTCAACCTCCCGAGAAGCTGGGACTACAGGCACCCACCACCACGTCCGGCTAACTTTTTCTTTTTAGTAGAGACAGGGTTTCACCATGTTAGCCAGCATGGTCTCGGTCTCCTGACCTCATGATCCGCCTGCCTCAGCCTCCCAAAGTGCTGTGATTACAGGCGTGAGCCACCGGGCCTGGCCAGAGGTAGGATTTCTTGAACTCAGGAGTTTGAGGATGCAGTGAGCTATGATTGTGCATGCGAATAGCTGCTGCATTTCTGCCTGAGAAATGTAGCAAGTTCTCATGTCTAAAGAATATATTTTTAATTTAAAAACTAAAAGAATTGAAGGCAAGTAGATGTTGGTTTGAAGCATGGCTCTACCTGTTCCAGCTGTAAGCAAAAATCTCAAACTCCTGAAAGCATCATTTAGAATCTGGAAATGATATCACTACCCACCTTGCAGAGTTTTCATTGTATAAGCATGACATAGATATATGCATATGCATTTCATGAAATATGTATGTGCATAAATAATATATTCAAAGTGCATGGCATATAGTAGAGAATATGGTATACAGTAGCTAATGTTATTTCCCGTCTCATGCTTATCATTAGTATTGTGCTTAACCATACTGAAAGCCACTAATGACTGCATCCATGAAGGAATCACCAGTCTTCCTTCCTTGGTTCTAATGTGTTAAATATCATTTTAACTTTTATATATGATTAAGACTTCTTTATTTAATGTTCATAACTCCCAAGAAAATTATTATTATGTGGAAAACAAATAATAATAGCTAACTACTTTTAGTGCTGTGCTTAGAGAGGAAAGAACATCTGCCAAAGCCAAGTCATAGTAACAATTAAAAACAAAAACCCACAACATTCTTAATATATCTTGACTCTAGATCCTACAAACCTGGCTTCTCCAGCAGCCAGAGAGTATCAGCTGCCACTGATGCTGTAATTTTCTTAGGCAGAGACTCAACTGCCATGGGCAGATGCCACAACAGCAGCAAAAGTGGGGCATGGTTAAAAGATGACATTTCATCACCAACATGTCACACTTGTCAGCATTTAAAAAAAAAAAAACAGATTGAAAAGAAGAAGTCAAATTTTAGTATCCAAATCTGAACTAAAATTTTGGAAAAATACAGCATAGTAAAGAGTGTGAAACTGTACCAAAGTGACATTTTGAAGGAGATATTTTGGGGAAAATGTGACTTTAACATCAATTAGAAAACCATGTTTTCCTAAGGCAGTAATTCTCAATCCCAGCAGTGCATTACAATCAGCTAAGGAAGCTTTAAAAAGATTGAATGCAAATTTCTGAGAGAGGACCAGGCTCCAGTGTTTTTTTAAAAATTCCCAGTCAATTTTAATATGCAGCCGGGATTGAGAACCACTGCCCCTATGGCACCACAACCCTGTTGTTAAGTAAGAGTCCATCCACTGAGAGCTATTCGATGCTGTTAACTTCCGTGTGTACCTCTTTTAGGTCTTTTTGCCATTCCTCCAGGACATCCACCGTAAGGAAAGGAGACCCTGGACCAACATTCTCTAAGATGTTTATATGGACCAGTGGCCGGACCTCTTCATCTTATAGACATGATGAAAAAAGGTAAATACACTGGGATTCTGGGAACTTTTCAGAAGCATTTAACCTGACTTTCCAAAGAGGATACTGACAGGAAAGTAGTAGGCAACTGAGCCTTACGCTTTGCAATGTGCGGACGGACTCTACACTACAGGAGTAGGGTTTCAGACACTTCGGCCTTCCTTCTCTTTGCACTTTACATGTTTGCTTTCAGCACATACCCTTGCAAAAGTTGTTCCCTGTCAGAAATTCCCATGTCACGAGCTCTTTGCTTAGCTAACTCCAGCTCTGCCTTCAGATATCCAATGTGAACCACCACTCCCATCAGCCTCTTTAGCCAAACAGACTGTGTTGTTGAATTTCCAGCACCTAGCACTGTAACCTGGCACACGGCGTTCAATAAATACTGAGCACCAAATGTATTAATAATAATTTATTAACTGAATTAATTTTATTAATGAATAATAAAAATTAAATAATAAAATATAATTAATAAAATAATAAATACTGAGAACCACTGGCAATTCAGTTTCTTCTTCCAAAGTGATGAAAACTGCATTTCTGGGTACTGGACATACGGCAGGGAAGGAAAACAGAAACTATGAGAGGAAGAAAAGAGGACAGACAAATCCACTGAGCCCTCAAAAATCACTGGAAGAATAGTCTGGGGGAAGGGAAAAATGAGGGAATAAGAAGAAAGATAAAGGGCAAAGGCAGCATTAAGAAAAGACAAGATGACCATTGTGCAACTCAATCCAGTCCTCTCACTTGGGTTTAGGGAGTAAATGTATTCATAAAATTCTCTAGTCATTTTTAAATATTTAGTCTTCCTCTTTCCCATGACCTTGCACTATTATTTGGGTTAAGTGAAGCTAAATTTTAAGTATAACTGCCTTTACCAGCATATTGCAACAGAAGCAAGTTGCAAATCAGGCAGAATCTGATAGAAATCAGGATCAATTTGGTTGAAGGAAATTTGTGAAAAACTGATAACAAAATAAAAATTAAAATTAAATAAAAATTAAAAAATACAATTGATAAAAGTTGGTAAGGCACAAGGAGAAGAATCTGAAGGAGGTTTGCCTGAATACTGTTTTCAGAGCTGATACTTTTATTCTCCTTCTAAAACCTCAATTGCCTCACAGATAAAAATTATTTTAAAAATTTCAAAAGCAAAGTTGTTCTTCACAATAATTATATATTACAGCAAAAGTTGGGAAGCGACTTGAAAATTCACAATAGAAAATCTGCTAAATAAATCACTGAATGTAATATACCACTTAGCACTTTAAAATGCTTTGACATAATATTAACTGAAAAAAGCAAGTTGAAAATTTGCATACAAACTATGATTGCAGCCACAAAAAATATACATAGGCAAAAGCCTGGAAGAAACAGCATGGTTTTTACTGCTCTACTTTCCAAATGCTTTGTAATATATTGTTACCTTAATTATGGAAAAAAATAATTATATGATATTTAACTAAAATTATAGCCCAGAAGGCAACTAATGTTGCCTTGTCAGCATTTAAAAAACAAGTCCCGGTGCTCATCACGACACCAAGCAAATTAACTGAAAATTTACGTTACTTGATCATCTCTAGGTTTTCACTGCTTTTTCTCAAGGTTTAATCAAATTATTTTTCATTTGCTTTCAAGTTGAATCATCTTTCAGCAAGATCATTTCTTTAACACTGTAAAATTTCACATGTCATTTCAAATTCTATATGTGAAAGTGCAGAAAGGCAGAGATTTGGTCCTGCAACTTCCGTCCCAGGACCAAATCCAAGAGTTTTGTTGCCCTACAGGAATATGGTAATTGTCAACAGCCAGCTGTCCTGAAATTCTGAAGGCAAGTGAAGTGTAATGCATTTCTTTCACCTTCTATTTACTCTCAGCAAATAATTCAATACATTTTGCTACTTTTTATGAACAAAGGAATTAACATTTAAGAAGCAATTACTGTGTACTGCAGGTTTTAATTGTGTTCTCTTAAGATAGAGATTATTATGCCTGCTTCACAGATGAGGAAACTGAGACTTTTTAAATAACGGAGAGATTTTCAACAACTTCCAAAGGCCCAACAACTAGCCAGTGATGAAATCAGGATTTGAACCCAAGCTGATGCTCTCTCCCTGTACCCCAGTACCTGTCCATGCTTTTGTCAAACTTGAAATATTTGGAGTGATAGTGAACAGCCAAGCCCACAAGGGGAAAAGTATGTTAAAATAGAGTTGGATATTGCATATCAAAGAAGATAATAAACATGTGACTGACAAATTGGTAATATTTGTGGAGTTTGAAAGGCGTGAACAATTAGCTTACTATATTCTGCATCAATAAAGTTCTATGAAACTGAAATTACTGTTTTAATTTTTTGTTTTTAAAGTATGATTTCACGACTATGGGATTTATAATAATTAAAATATTGACTATGAAGAAATCATTTTTCAGCAAGCTTTATTTATGGGATGGGGATGCAAAAGCTGATTAAATAAGTCTGCATGGCGAAAAAGTACAAGCAATAGAATCTGCCATTAAGCTGGTATCCTTAGTTTAATGTTGGAAGTTCATTTGCCTGTGCTTTTTTCTTGACCACATCTTCGTCTTTGCTGCTTAATTCACAAACTCTTGGAAGATCCGACTCAGATTTTAAACTGACTTTGAGCAGTATCTGTGGCTCTGTTTAAGGTGCTCTCGGTGGCAGTAAACATGGTGATAATGAAGATGATGATGGCTGATAATTAATCTACATAATTAAGGTCCTCAAGTTAATTATTTGGAAATAAATTAACTAGATTGTCTGACAGCACTGCCTCAAATTGCTGGTAATTCAGTTTCTTCTCGTTCTGCAAACCTGGCCTCTGTGTATGCCTGGTTTCTCCAGCTGTGTTCCCACAGCAATCCCAGAAGCCAGGCCGTCCAAAATCCTCAGCTGCTCTCCACACCTCCTCTTCCTGAGAACAGGGCCAAGTATGTCAGGATATTGGATTCCCTGGGATTACTCAAATGGTAGAATACCAGGAAACCAGCTTAAGGGCAGGCAGAGCAACTTAAGAGGAAGGAAAAGTTCACTGAAAATTCTGAAACCAAATGTTTTCTTGCTCAGAAGAGATGGAAGTCAGTTTTACTTTTTTTTTCTTCATTTTAATTCCAAGCCAGATCTTTTTCTGATCATCTTCTATATGCAAAACATAAGGTCCTATCTTCATCTTCCATTCTGCAACCCAGCAATATGGAGAAATATTTTTTTCTTCTCACAACAAACTTCTTTGTTAGTTGAACTTACTTTAATCCCTAAATTTCTTTTTTTTTTTTTTTTTGAGATGGAGTCTCGCTCTGTTGCCCAGGCTGGAGTGCAGTGGCGCATTCTCACTCACTGCAACCTCTGCCTCCCGGGTTCACGCTTTTCTGCCTCAGCCTCCCGAGTAGCTGGGACTACAGGCACCCGCCACCATGCCTGGCTAATGTTTTTTGTTTGTGTGTGTGTGTGTGTGTATTTTTAGTAGAGACGGGGCTTCACCATGTTAGCCAGGATGGTCTCGATCTCCTGACCTCGTGATTCGCCCACCTCAGCCTCCCAAAGTGCTGCGATTACAGGCGTGGGCCAACATGCCTGGCCTGATCCCTAAATTTCAAGCAGCAAAACAACAGAATAATTAATTTAGAAATTTAAAAAGAGAGAGGTTTTTAAGCTAAGAGCATTACAGACTGTTAATCAAATATTCTTTAAATTGTTTATATTAAATATTGAAGTGATACAAATGAATATTTATTACACATGTTAATATACAAAGAATGATATTATAAACATCCAGGTACCCATCATTCAGCTTAAAAAACAAAACAATCAGAATTTTTGAAGCTCTGGAGGATGCTTTCCTAATACTATTCTACTCCCCATCCCAGCCCCCAACCCAGAGATAATCAATATCCTGAATTTTGGGTATATCGTTCCCCAATTTTTTTTCATGAGTTTATCGTATTTGGATCTTCAAACAGTATATTGTTTACATCTGAATGTTTGGAGACTTCATATAAATGGAATCATGCCATATTTATTCTGCAACTTGCTTTTTTAACCAAATATTATGTTGCTATGATTCGCCAATGCTGGCGTGAGTCGCTGTAGTTCCTTTTTTCTGCTATGTAGTATCCCACTACATGAACATACTACCATTTAATCATTCAGTCCACTGCTAAGGGACATTTGCATTATTTTCCAGTTCTTTTGTCTTTGCCAACAATGCTGCTATTCTTGTACATGTCCCTTTGTGCATATGTATGAACATTTCTTAAGATTTATGCCGAACATGGGAATGGTTGGTTCAAAAGTATACACAGCTTTAATTTTACCAAGTAATGCCATGGTTTTCCAAAGGAGCCATACATGCGATTCCCATTGCTCTACAGCCTTGTTTAGAGTTTTCAGATTTCTAATTTTCATTAATCCAGAGGGTATTGTTATTTTAATTTTCATTTCTCAGATTAGTAATGAGATGGAATCAATTTCCTTAGTCCTTTTTTCTGAGTTCACTGTTTAAATATTTGGCCCAATTAGGTCAAATACTTGATCGTTCAAATAATTTGCAATTATTTCATTAGATTTATACTTAAGTAACATTTTGCAGCAATTATAGTCATACTTCTACCATTTTTCTACTGGATCGTCTTTTACTTGACTTGTAGGAATTCATTATAAAAGTCCATGTTAATTATTTATCTGCTATATGTGTGCAAATAGCTTCTCCCAGTTTGTGGTTTGGCTTTTCACTTTCTTTATCATGTCTTTTGATAAATATATTAATATGTTCTTAATTTTAATATATCCTAAGTTAACAATTTTTGGAAAATTTTGAAATCCCATCCTACTCCAGATTCAAATAGACATCCTCCTGCACAGTTTTCTAAATTTTATGTAGCATTATCTTTCACAATTAAGTATTTAATCATCTGGAATTGATATCCAACATCCAGTCTTTATATGGATAACCAATTGCCCCAGCACCATTTATTGGAGAGTT